AAGGCCGCTCAAAAGACAACCGCTAAAATAGGAAAGCAAAAGCTAGCTGCTGCTATTAAAAACCTCTACACCTTCAGGTATGTCAGGTAGATAGGATGCAATAAACGATTTCCTCCCTTCTCGTTATGAAGGAAAAGCCCTACCTAAACATAGCTAGTAGCAGTGGTAGAATAAAGATATGCTCACTGTAGCGAAGCATAAGTCAGACAGGCTGAGGCTGTAAGCGACTAGTTCACTACGTTCGATGGCGTTAGGTTTTCGTTCTCGGGGATGTTGTGCATTTATGACATTGCAAAAATCGCAAATGCCAAGGAATTGACCACGCAGTAATGAAAGTAGCCTGCAACATATCTCCTTGGCACTGCACAACCGTGCCAATGCTCATTCCTTTAGCCAGCAAAGTAAAAGGCACAAAGTATTTCTCAGTCCAGGGTTACACATAACCAGTTCATACGAATGCACAAAGTTGTCACAAGCAGGCTGTATTACAAGTGTGGCCTAATTTTGTAACCCTTAAAATAATAGTTAATGGTATAATTATGTCTTATAATCAAGTTTCACTTTAACAATGATGCTAGCGGTAATAAAAGGTATTAGAAAATCTGGAAAAGTAAATGCAGATTGTTCCAAACAAAATACAGATAATAGGAATCGTCTAAAATTCCTCTTAACAGTACAGTTTCTCAGGCCTGCACTTTGCCAATGAAACATGCTAAGACGTAGTTAACGATACGCATATTTCGGTGTGATTTGAAAAGTACATTAGTGAGCTTGGAAATGATTATGTTTTGATGGGTGTAAGAGAGTAATTCCCCTTGATAGCTTTCACGACATCGATAAAACGCCCAAAAACTCATGCACAGAGTTAACTTCCTTGATCTGAAATACTTCAGACATAAGTAGCATCCTGCTACACCGTCTGCATGCCAAATCGGAGCGGTTCGCTTCAAACGACTTGGCTTTTCCCTTCGCCTTGTGCCATTCCGAGTAATGTGAGTGATATTGGCGATTAACTGCGGATGCATAATGCACAAATTCATGAAGGAAAATTTAATTAGTCATGTATCAAGTCACTACACGTGACATACTACTTTTCTAAGATTAAGTTACGCTTTGTAAACTTCCTCGAAATGAGTGTCATTCCATTAAAGCGTGAAGAGCAAGAAGAGATTTGCAAATGCCCTTCTTCCATTGTTTACTTTAGATACTTTACTAATGCGCAATGTTCGACATTCGTCACCTTATGTCATGGAATCTGTGCGGAAAGTTAAATTAATCGCCCTATGGTAGAAATTGTCCCTCTGCCACAATATTAATGAGCGGTTATGTTTGCACAGAAAAGTGATTGTCACTTTCTTTCCCCCACAAATTGATAAAGCTGCAATTTACCAACAATAATTAATGCACGTTCTTGCCTGAATTCGGTTCCTTCTATTTGCTATCCTGTTTGACTTTACTGGGCAACTCTCAAATCTCCACCATTGCCACACTTTAAAGGTTTTAAATCTATATTTATCATCAGGAAGTCTGTTGGTTCGACAAGGCGCTAGACGCTCTGACAATTCAATATCTCATGCCCTTCCGATAGCGCACTGGACAACGAAGAACATGGCTATCGTGCGTAATCTCAGTGGCCAATCAGAAGGCGCAGACTTGTCCAATGTCATGCGCTTACTGATACGATTGGCTGAGTGTTTAGTGTCAACGCTAATCGCGTGATTAGACAGCAGGCCTCCAGGGGCATTTGCACATGCGTATAAATACACTCCTAGATGCAATAAATTAAATCAATTTAAGGTCTTAGGTCTTGCTTGCTTTCGATGTTTAAAAGAAAAGCGACGGAGGCGATAAGACTCTTAGTAATGAAAGGAAACAAGGATTCGCCGAAATTCAAACTAGTGAAATCGAATTATACATTAAGAAACGCTCTTTTTTTGAAAATTAAAGCTTACCGATATAAGTCAAATAATTTTCTGCCTAGTGCAAAGTCAATTAAATGGTGTTGTCACTAGCCTTTTTCAAGCATAATGTTGCCATTAGCGCGCACTATTTCATATCTAGGCTCCTAAAGAAATGGTAGTGTCCCATTTTCAATGTTCTAATTTTTGATCACATTGGAGACTTAAATCTATACTGGTTCTTACATTGAGCATGTACATGCGTCTTCCAGTATTTGCGGAGTACGAAGTGCAGGGCGGTTCTTAATGTGCTGCACGTTCCCTCCCATTACAACCCAACCTTGAGCCGTACATAGCTATAAGGACGCAAAAGAGACTGACAGAGCTGACGAAACCGGAAAATAGACAGAGAGTTGGGTCAGTATTGATTACTGAGAATTGGATACATCATGAGCCTACTCAATCGCGTACCAAAGCATTTTCTTTGGCTTTTGACTCTGTCATCATACATCCTAACGTTGATAATTGATCATAGACATGAAAACATCGAATGCAAATGTCCCTCGGTAAAGTAGTCTTCGATTCTAGCATGTCCAACTTAACAGTACATGCCAAAGCTTCCGTCGCGCTTCATCAAGAGATTAAGCTAGATTCACAGTCTAGCAGATTACTTTCAGCAGATGATTACGAGGTTGTAGTTGACTGTGAGAAGTCGTTATTTGTCATTATAGACCGTGAAACCTAAATAATAAACCATCCCACATATGCGGAATTGTCTTGGGGCATAATTTATGGAGGCGGTTCCCTACGTTACATTTAGGTTGT